ACAAATGAGTATCAATCTGATATAAACAATAGATTAGCCATGATTTATAATATTTCAGTTTGAGATTCTGATATATCTCAGAGCAATGCTCAAACTTAATTATTTCAATTGTATTCGTATCAGTGATTAGTATATTCCATTTTGTTTTTAGTTTTATGTATTTTTATTTTCGTTTTTACGAATTTTATAAAGTTCGAAATTTTTCTCATCACTTGGCGTCCGTCGTCGTCGTCGTCCGTTACATTTTAGGAAAATCTTTAAAAAAAATCTGGTCTTCAATGTCGGAGAGTGTCCACTGTTGAAGATGCAGAAAAACCTAGGTAAGCGACGCATGCTCTTTAGTGTTTTGAAATATATTTTCTAGGCACTGACGTTGTTTATCATCTTAATTACGTGTTATTGTGTCCCTTTCATTTGTCTTTGTATGCTTTTGACCTTTACTGTTTAGTCTATTTTTTGATAATATACCTTTGGCGTGGCTCGGTATTTATACATCCCGCCATTGTGTTCTTGTCTTTCGTTTTTGCTTGTGTACTTTGTCTATAGAGTGTCTATATGCCATTGGTTTTTGTCTCGCCTTGACGGAGTCAAAAAGCGAGACATAGGTATGCTGTTTCCGGCGTCGGCTGCGGCGTCAACAATGTATTAGTTTGTGATTAGGTCTAGTTCATGGGGAACCACTAGTGGTAGGTCAATGATATTTGGTATGCAGTTGTATTAGCATTGGCACATCTCATTACCATGGAAATTATTTGGCCCCTCCCCCTCAGTCAAGGTCTATTGACTTTGAAACTTTGCTTAGTTTACACTGTATTAGTTTGTGATTAGGTCAGTTTATGGGGAACCACTAGTGGTAGGTCAATGATATTTGGTATGCAGTTGTATTAGCATTGGCACATCTCATTACCATGGAGACTATTTGGCCCCGCCCCCTCAGTCAAGGTTTATTGACTTTGAAACTTTGCTTAGTTTACATGTATTAGTTTGTGATTAGGTCAGGTTATGGGGAACCACTAGTGGTAGGTCAATGATATTTGATATGCAGTTGTATAAGCATTGGCATATCTCATTTCCATGGAGATTATTTGGCCCCGCCCCCTTATTCATGGTCTGTTGACTTTGAAACTTTTGCTTAGTTTACATGTATTAGTTTGTGATTAGGTCAGTTTAAGGGGAACTGTTAGTGGTAGGTCAATGATAATTGGTATGCAGTTGTTTAAGCATTAGCACATCTCATTTCCATGGAGAATATTTGGTCCTTACCCCTCAGTACGAACTCTGACTATTAATTTCATAATTTTCTGTGTATAATTAAAAAAGTTTCCCATTAGGTCTCTATGTTAATTTTGAAGTGTTGATTACCTGATGGAGTAAGTATAAATAGTGTAACAGCCTTCCGATAAAAAAAAACAACATATATGTGCTTTGAGTGTTTCTTTCTTTGTAAACTGTACCATATGTGACATTACCTATCTAAATATATTTTCCTTGTCCTAAACTTAAACATAAAAAGTGGACAAATCCTGTTATAAGTCATGTCTACTAATATAACATATGAAGGTATAAATATAAAAGAAAATGATAAATTCATTTTCATATAATTGCCTATAAAGTACTGTTTACTAGTTTATACCATATCTAATATTTTCTAAATATAAAATGGGCAATGAAGAATCCTATAATATATAGAACAATTAAAAAAATCACATGAAATGAAATCTAATTTTGTTTGCTAGTCAGTTAAGGTCATCTTAAAATTTAAATATACAAAGTCACATGGTACACAGAAACAAACATTCAAAGCACATGTATTTTGTTTTTGTTTTGATTGGGGGCTTTTACACTATTTATACTTACTCCATCAGGTAATCATCATTTCAAAAAATCAAAATAAGCATAGGGACCTAATGGGAAACTTTTTTAATTATACACCAAGAATTTTCAAATTAATAGTCGGAGTTCGTATATATCATATATTAACATACATCAAGAAAAAAAATATTTTAATTTGAAAAAATTGATTTCTAACTAAGAATTTTTTTCTGCAAATATATAGAAGTCAAATGGGCAATTATGTCTGTTTGTCTTGCTTACACATTGTTGTCAATATAATGGAATTCTATGTGACTGTCATATAAGTGAGAGGTTTAGCTAGCTATAAAACCTGGTTTAATCCACCATTTTCTACATAAGGAAATGCCTGTACTAAGTCAGGAATATGACAGTTGTTTTCCATTCGTTTGATGTGTTTGAGCTTTCGATTTTGCCATTTGATAAAGGACGTTTTTGAATTTTCCTTGGGGTTCGATATTTTTGTTATTTTACTTTTTTAGAGCCTCCAGTTTCTTTGGACATAAGGTTGTTGAAAAACACTTATTTTTTTATCGGTATCACGTGTATCCTGTACATTTACCAGTATAAACTATATTTAATAAACTGCAATTTATCAATATGTTCAGAGGGACGAAATTTTATGTTGCCTTTAAATTCATTCCACTTTACATTGAAAACGAGTGATTATCATTTATTCTCTCTATAATGATAATTACTACATTTGCATTTCGTTATGCTGGTAGAAATACTGTTTTAATAGTCGAATAATGTAAGATTACTGCTTCACTTTCTAACTTTGATCATAATATTAAAAAACCAAGACAACTTCCCGATCACAATATCTGAACAAATTAGACAACCTTTTCTCAATTCAAAGATTAGGACCGATCATTTGCTTTGTACTGCTATATTTTCTCATTAGTTGAGCAGTTTACAAGTTTTCATTTCTTACTTAGATTGAAAAATCAATTCGTATATTGTCCACAGTCACATTGCTTTTGCTTTAGCAGCAAAAGAGGAAAAATTGTCGAGTACGTCTCTTCGCCTCTCTTTTGCGACATGTTTTCGCGGTCTTATATCTTTGATACCAGTAAAGTCGTCTGATCTGTTATTTTATCGATCAGGACATTTTAACGGAGTGTGAATTAATGCATAGCAGGGGACGTTTACCCTGCCGACACACCCGGTCTCGTTCCTTTTGGAGTTCATGCGATTCCCCCAGTTTGTGATAGATACCTTGAGGTGTCTCTCCCTAATCAATTCACGTGATTTGAACATCGGTAAACTACTGTCGCCTTATTTTAACGAGAAAAGACGTTTTTCTGAGAGGACGTATTTCACACATATATGCTTTGTAGAAGATTTTAGATTCTATGGAATCATATTCTAGATCTTCCTTTTAGAAATATATATGCTACAATTTGAAAAAACATTAAATTGATAGATGTTTTTATTCTTTATATAAAGGATTAAGAACAAAAATTAAATAAAAAGGTGATGTAAAAGTAGAATGATTTATTGCACATTAAATTTGATCAATATAGAAATAAGAAAATGCTGTAAGATTACAATTTACAACTATAACTATCGACCAGAAACCAAACGACGTGAGTGAGAACAACTATATGGCAATGTACAGCCTTTAACTATGAGCATAGTAAGCTATAAAAGGCACCGGAATGAGAAATGTACAACACTTTAATGGTCATAATCAACTCCCTAATTTATTCTAAAACAATAATTGGAGACATCAACAAACGACAACGTCTTTGCAAGCTGCTGGCTTGGGACATACCTTTAAAATAAGGTGGGGAAAAACATGTTCGTGAGCGCTCAACCCTTAACCTTTAAAAGGGACAGCTGCGGAACAACACATCAGAATCAACAGTAATGATTATTATAGTCAATGTTACTGAATATTTCCTCGAAGAAAATATCAAAGAAAATATGTCTAATCTATCTATTCTTACTATGTTGTTAAAATGTAGTTAAATACAGGACATAATGCGAATAAATCTGTAGGATAATCGTTTTCACGCGATGTATGTCTTTTTCAATTCTCCTACCGTATAAAGTGTATCTTTTTCGAAATAAGGTGCCTTTAAATCTTCTAAAGAAATTAACTTATTTGATCCTTTTCAAAAAAATACACATAGGAATAACAGGAATCTGCAATATTTCACAGTCCAATGTATCACACAAACTACTAACATCCGACTCCTACGAGAAATAAAAGTATTTATTTAACATGGACAAACAATTACGAACAACACAAGGTCAATATAACCTGACTTGGCACAGGCACACAATGTGGTGGGGTTAAACCAGTTTCATGTGCACAATCCTGTCCCCTCCCTTCTGTTGCCTATATAAACCATATGACGTAAAAGTACAAGTTAATATTTTAGTCCCATTTGTATGAATATAACTGACTTGTAATCTTTATGCATCTAACTAAAATTTTACTTGTTTATATCTTTCGCATCAGGTTGAAAACTATTAAATATCAGTTTTGCAACCTCGGCATATTTACAAGATATATAAGAAATGTAATAATTTTTCTGAAGAAAATTAATTCATTTAAATATAGGTAAAAAAAAGTATAATTGTGTGACTTCAAACCAAACCTCGTAGTTAAGTAGATGTTTTTTTAATACGAGCCGTTCAAAAGTACACATGCATTTTGACTTGAATGCGTCTCAGGGGAACGTTTTAACAAGAAAAAATCATCTAAGATACCAGGATTATTATTTTGTACGCTAGAAAAGCCCATTCATGATTGTAAGTAAGAAAACCGTATCAATTTATCAGAAGTATTTTGAACTTTCCTTTCAGTAACAGCAAGAGTTCTCCAATTCATTTTGAAAAGTATTGTTTTACTTGAAACTTTATCTTAATGTTTATGTTATAGTGACGAGTAAATATCTCAATTTAAAAATTAATAATCAACGAGATGTATGTGTGATTGACTGTTAAGTCCTTTGTGGACATGTTTGTCTTTTATATTTTTTTGTCATGATATTGTCCGTTTTTCTTTGACTTTTGGTGTGCATTGCCCGCTTGGAATCTTCTCCCCCAATTTATCCCCCACATTATTCCAACAAGAACTTGTATGAACACATAAAACGATTCCATAAAATAATGTGTCTCTGTTTTCCGTTTCGCAGCTAAAACACAGAGTTTCTGTGGTTTTGAAGATGATAAAGTATGTGGGTTCACACAAGAAGGAGAAAAGGACGATTTCGACTGGCTCAGAAATGTTGGAAAGACACCATCTAGTGGCACAGGTCCTGAAACGGATCATACATGTGCTGAAAAGAAAAGCGGTAAGAATAATTTTCTGTCCGACATATAATATTGCTGATATTAGTAAAACTGTTTGCATAAACATAAAATGTCATAAACATATTGCATATTATATTTATTTTGAATGACGTGATTTTCTGGAATGAATATCATCAAGAACTCTTAAGACGTCAAATACATAAAATGTTTTGGATACAAAATTCCACAAAAACGATGAACCAAACTGATAAATTCCTGTTAAATGTTTCCAGAGTGAGTCTCAGGTTTAGTAATCTGTCCTCTGTTTAGCTTATACAAATTGCATGTCTTATTAATGCAAACATATACCAATATAAGACGTCATACAAAACAGAATAGAGAATGGAAACGGGGAATGTGTTAAAGAGACAACAGCCTGACCTAAGAGCAGAAAACAGCCCGAAGCCACCAATGGGTTTTCAACGCAACGAGAAAGTCCCGCACCCGGAGGCGGGCTTCAGCTGGCCCCTAAACAAAAATGTGTACTAGTTCAGCGGAATGGACGCCACACTAAATTCCGAAACATGCAAATGAACCAAAATTTGAAAAGCCACAAGAATAAGAACGGCTACAGGTTTCTAACTTGGGACAGGCGCAAAAAAAAAAACAGCAGGGTTAAACTATATTTTGAGATCTCAACTCTCCCTCTTTACCTTTAGCCAATGTGGAATAAACAAACACACAGCAAAACAAGCTGTTTGTTTTGCAGTATGTGTTTAATGCCATCTTATTTTCAACCAGAATGTATTGTTACCATTGATTGTACATATATAAATACGGTCACATATTTGTTTAATGCGGTTGCTTCTTTCAGGTCATTATATGTTCGTTGAAGCCTCTGGTAAAAATAACGGGAAGAAAGCTATACTAATATCTCCAAAATACAGAGGATTGAAGTCTCAGTGCCTATCGTTTTATTATCACATGTACGGTGAACATGTTGGAACACTTAATGTCTACACAACAGTAAGTATAATGTTGATGAAACAAATTGCTACGAATTCTTACAGATTCGCTTTTGCCTAATTTCTGATTTAAGAGCAGATTTAGAAGAAAAAAAAGGAGAACATTATATTACTTTTATGATTTTGTTGGAACTTTCTTTTTTCCAGATTGTTGTTTGTTATTCGATATTGTTACGTAGATATGGTTTCTGATTTTGCGATTTACGAATGGTATTCATGTTATTTATTAAATACTAATATCCAACTCGTAAGTCTTATATTTGCTTATCTGTCACGTACCATGCTAGATATGGGACAAATGCACATTTTAAAGAAAAGGCAAATTTGAAGTCTTCTTCCTCGAAATTTGAAGCACGTTCGGTATTTGTTACACCAAAACATTCAAACCAAATTTCAAGGGTTACTTCAACTTCTTCCTTCAGCTCCTTACAAATCTTACGTTTGGGAATATATTGCGTGATATCAGCATCACGTGATATATATAAAATCTTGTTTCTAAATTACAAACTCCGATGTGATACCATTACGGGTATGGAACATATTTTGAATAGAAAAGTCACCATCTACATGTATGTGTAATGTATACACCAAGTAATATCACATACACAATGCCGAAGCTGTGGTGTCCAGGAAATTATGTAGGCACGACCTTCAAGTTAAAATCATGTGCGCCATCTTTTATTCCTTTATCAATTTTTTTTTTATCCTGTATTTAACTTTATGACATATGAACTAGGTTGGTAAAGGAGGAGGATTTTGCGATAGTAGAACTGACTGGTTTAACCCCACCATTTTTTTTCTGGATATCTGAACCGTGTGTTGTTCATGTTTTTGTTTGTATGTGTATTTTCTCGGAGGAGTCGGATGTAAGGGGTTAGGAATGTTTGTAGTAATGTTTATTTTTTGTAATTCTTTGTATCCCTTTTACGTATAACTCTTTACGTATCATTTTACTTTTATCTTCATATTATAGACTGACTTCCAGAATGAATTAAATTCTGTATGGCGAGCATATGGAAACCAAGGAGACGTTTGGATTAAGTCTACATTGGAAATACCCAAAGCTCTAGCAAGAACAGGATATCGGGTGAGAAATTTTACCAAGTAGACCTTTATTAAAATGAAGAATTGCATCATGTAAAATCAGTATGTTTCTATCAAATTACTACAAACTTTATACTGTTGTTAGGATTGGTGGGTGTTACACAATTTCAATATGCAAATAGGTTGTATCATACGCTCTTGGCGCAGCTGCTTTTTATTTTAATAATTTCATGTTCGAATTCGTTTTATGTTTTCTATTTCATATTCACCTCCCGAATTGCTTGGGCGAAACAACAATCAATCAATATTTGCAGGAAAAATAAAATAGGCCACCCGGCCATTAACTTCAAGTTTAGCATATAAAGATGAGATCAGGTTTTTATGCCTAATAAATGTTCATTGACCGTTGAACTCATACATTCCCTTTACCTCCGTAAATAAAAGATTCAACAGATATGACTAGGTCTGTTTCATATCATGCCCTCAAGATTATGTGAGCACATCTTATTCTCTTATTCAGAGCGTTGGCTAGGGGAAAAGGAATTAATGCTTACCATGACGTAACGCGCAAACACTCTCACAAAATAATCGGAAATTACAAAGCGAAAAAATAGTAAAAAGCAAACTTTATACGATATTAATTGCTACATTTATAGCTTATTTTACTATATGGTCATTCTATTGGATCTCATAACACACCAGCCTTCCTTAAATATATAGGAACCATGTAATTAAGTAATTTATGCATTCGGTTACTATAAACTACTGTTTCATATACAGGTATATCGGTCTTCATCTGATAATGGACATTCTGTGTGGTCAAATTTCTACCATATAACTTTACCGTTAACTTTGAAGTTTTAATACAAATATACCCCGAGGATTTATAACACACAAACACACATAACGTTGTTTGAAAGCTATTCATTGAAATACACCTGTTAAAGTTGTTTATGGGTGTCGCGAAGAAAAGAAAGATGCAATCTACATATTTCATTTGACCCGTCTCGAAGTTAAAAAAAGATTTTGCACTTTTTTCAAACATGAATAAGACATGCAATGATTACTTATTCAGATTTTTTAGCATCATATTAATCGTGTGAAACTCAAACATAACAATAAAACAGCGGTTTATAAAGAATTCTGGCAAGTTGATTGATGGTTGTGAGATTTCAAGTTTTCTAAAGCTCTCACTGTACAATACAGACATTATGAAATCTAGGTATAAAATATAGATGTACGATAATCATCAATGATTAATAGACCTCAATTCTACCCCCATGCGTAGATGGCCATAGTCAGACCAGCCACAACTTTTGTAGAACTTTTGTTTTTTAGTGCTCCTCAACTTCCTGATTAATTTGGATTTCCAACTGTAGTTGGATCGACACCGATAAAACTAGTGTAGACGAAACGCGCCGCGCGACTGACGTAAAAAAATATAAGCCTAGTATCTTCGATGATATTTTTGTACATACACATACATGTACATTTGTTAAGGGGCTTACATAAGTTTGGAGAAATCAATCCTCCCTATTTCATGTCACTCATAGATAAAACAAAACAATATCCTTAAATACAAAATAAAAATCAAGTAAGATATACCTTTATAACACAATGCATATATAAACACATACATATTAACAATACTTCAAACGCACCCTAAAAATGGTTGGCAATCATACCATATCTCCTTATTTGTTGTCTTTACTGAAAGCAAGCTTAAAATACGTATTAAAGGGGGTACCCAACACTTTGACTAAAATAGATTTGGCTCGATTAATTTTCATAAAATTTTGACAAAATATTTACTTTGACCTGTTGACAAAAATATAAAAAAATTAAGAAATTTGAAACATTCAATTTACAGGAATAATTTCATTGGTTATATACCAGTTTGATGAACACTAATTTTGATCATTGGAAAGCTTGATTTCTCTTTACTCATAGCATGTGATTAAAACGTTCAGCCGGTTTTGTAAGAGTTAACTCCCTAAGGTGTTCTATACCCCTTAATAAATCCATTTTTTGGATCGATAGAAATGAGAGATTAAGCAGAATTTGAACAAAAAGGGGAATTTGGAACTTAACTTCCTCCTGATTTTGAAAATCACATTCGGCTTATATACAGGTAAATAACAGGTAAATAACAGGTAAATAACATAAGATTGATTGGTTGATTGTTTGTTGTTTGCTTTATGTCCATTAAAAAATATGTCATGCATGTTCGGGACGACAACAAATTATTAATCAATACAAAGTTATGATCTGCAAGGTATGTTTCGACTTGGATGAAAGGCTAGAAATGTGTACTGTCACTAGAAAGAAAGACGAAAGATACCAAAGGGACATTCAAATTCCTAAGTAAAAAATAAATCGACAACGCCATGGCTAAAAAAAAAGATCAAGAACAAAACTGAGCATTACTAACCCCACCAAAAACCGGGGGTGATCGCAGGTGCTCCGGAATGGTAAGCAGATCCTGCTCCACATGTGGCACCCGTCGTGTTACTCATGTAAGTTCAAACCCGGTGATTAGTCTAATTCGGTAGGTCACATTCGGGGAAAAGGGGACAGGATTGTAGTAACGACAATTGGAACATATCCGTTGTCATCTGTGAAACAGATATTCAATAACGGCCAACCAACTCGTGATGGCGTCCGTAAAATTTACGAATGGATGATTTCAACTTCACAACTTGGAACTCCTGGTGTAATAGCTTCCTGTTGAGCAGCGACCCTCTATCAAGGAAATCATGATAGAAAATCAAATCGAGTTCGACAGAGAGACGATTTCATTAATATAGTCTCACTTCAATTATATTTCCATTTTTTTTTTAAAACATAGATGTTATAATTAAACAGAAGGACTACAATGTATGCATATCAAAATCACACATCATGATTTAATGGTTCTTGCTTAACGACCAGTGTCAAATATTTTATAAATATTCAGAACGAGAACAAATTACAACTTGTCAAAGTGATGGCCCTGTACTCCACTCTGAAGTAATTGTATTATAACAAGGTCAATGTAGGACTTTCTTTGAGATATTATTGTGTCTGGGAGACACAAATGATGCCCCCGCAGATGCAAAGTGTTATTTTAAAATACACAAAGTTGAGCATGGGAGCAAATAGGTTTATAGTTCACTGCAGGAGGAGTTATCCGGAAACGCTATGCACCTCTTATGCAAGTAATAAATCGTCTGTTATATCTTCTTTATAAGCGTTGCCTTATTATCTCTGAACAGCGCATCGGATGTAATGTCCCCATACGGACCGGACGTGGCTGTGTATTTCTACATCCTGCACAGCAAGACGAGCGTCTTCCGCCAGGTGATTGCTGTAATCTCTTGAGGATTCACTTTGTATTAAGTCATCAAAGATATCAGGCTTTTAATAAACACCATACAAGCTTATATCTATAAAAGACTAATAACAGTAATGCTCGAATCATACGGCCATCAATGCCTCTCGGGTAGAAAACCTTTATGTTTCGAAATATTCTAACATTTTATGAAAAGTTGATTTACAGAAAACAACCGATCAATGAAATTTCATATCAGTACTATAGGGTTGACTGCTGGGCTGGTGATACCATAGACGTACGTCAGTTGCGTCAGTTGCGTGTTTCGTCTACATACGACTCCTCGGTACATACGGTACTCAAAATAACACAACAGAAAGGACAAAACAAATAGGAAGTTGAAGAGCGTTGAAAACCCAAACTTTCATAAAGTCATGCAAATTCTGAACCATTCTTCATAGATAATGAGATAATAAAAAAAATGTGAAAACAGATATGTTAAATTTCTTATACTTATAGTTTCTACAATAATTTACCTGTAAGAAAACTTTGTCATCTAATTTAAATATCATATCAGGTTTTGGCAAATTAAAAAACAATAAAATAATACCATTTTGATATAAGAAAAAAAGAAAAAAAAAGATGTGTTATAAAAGCCAATATCTAGACCTTGAAACTGCGAAATAGTGGAATTCTTTAAATTTTCAAATTGATAAAAAAGAATGATACTTTCTACACACTTAAGATTAAACCTATAAGTTGTTATGCAACTATGTCATCATAAAATGTTGAATATTATACATTTGTCCATAAATGGCTACGTATTTTACACACGGTTTTAGGAAAATTAGATATGAGTCAATGTCTTACCCAAGAAGAAATTTTACCCACATTAACATTTCGTATTAAACATCTTGTAGCAAAATGCCGTTTTAGGTAAATATCAATAAAACTATTTTAAAATTAGGCTTTTAGCAACTTTTTGAAGTTTTGCATTAAGTTCAAAAAGTTAGTATGTAAGACATAACTTATACTTGTCAGTATTTCAGACTACTGTAATGTGAATAACTAGAGGATGGTTTATGATGTTTAAATTACTTTTTTATTTTCGAATTCAATGGTAAATACTAGCTTTATCATACCTTCTTCTTTTTTCACCATCAGTAAAACTATTTGATGTGGAAATTATGAAAAGCATAAAAAAACGTCTCTCGTATCCTCATTATAACATGATTTTACTTCAATATCTCTTTTACATCGAAACTAACATTAAAATAACACCACTAGCACGGCACTTTGGAATAGAAGTTACAAATAATTCCTATCGACCGCAATGTCTCAATTTTTCCAGAACAAAAAACAACAAAACAAACATAATTTACTACGAATGCTTTGTAACATTTTAATGGCAACAATAATCCTGAAAAAACTCCACTGGTAGAATATCAAGATCTGGAGATTTTCAATTTTTCATTTTTCATAACTTTTTTTATTTTTTTTCAAATTCTTTCTATTGCTATAGTGTTTATGATTGATTAGTATATATTTCTACTTAATAAGGTTAAATTTGAGGCAGTTACTCGGCTTGGTTATCGAGGTGACATATCGATTGATGACGTCAGTGTTGACGATGGTGAGTGTGCAGATGGCGCAATCAAAGTGCAATATGAGAAGAATAGCACGCTAACTATTGACAGCCATAACCTTAGACGATACAAAAAATTCAGAGACAGATTGAGCAGGAGAAAAGGTTAATATTGAGGATGAAGCATCTGGGGGAAATAACCAGGTGCCAACGTATAAATGTATTTCCGGTGCGTCTTTGAACCGTTTCTTCAAAGCATAAGGATGTTTTATCAGATCAACAGATTTTTGTTGAAAAACCTATGAATGTCTGACATGTGGAAGAGAATAAAGGTGGCTGTGAATGGAGTCAATGACTGTTTCAAGTATATGATGTCACTTTGCGTCTAAGTGATACTTTTTATGAGCAGAAATTCTAGAAATCATGGAATCATATTCACAAATTAAATTGAATTAGTTAAAAGTAAGGCATTGGATCTTTAATTGCGATTAATTGATTTAATATCATTTAAAGACAAGTTTCCCATGTATTTGTTTCATTCATTGAGTATTAATAAGAATGGTGTTAAAACCTACTGGAATATAAATTAATATAGGTAACAGAGTCTAATCATATAATTCCAATATATTTTTTAACAATTCATATCAAAATGTAATTCAGTGCTGCATATTGCAGTATTAGACAATTTTGTTAGAAAAAAAACTCATGATAGAATATTGTAAACTTTACCGGTTTTAAATTTTAATATCGAAAAGATAACACAAATAGTTTGTTTTTAGTTTGATTAAGAATGCCATTCTCATATATTTGTATTTAAATATACCCACAGTTGTAACAAATCTTTCAGTTTTGAGCTATCTTTAAACAACATTTATATAATGCGTTTATATATTAAGAAAATTTAATGATGCCAATAACTTGAATTACGGGTTCCTACATACCTGGTATGAATTCAACTGCACTAAAATAAATATATTTTCAAATGTGGAAATATTTACAAGAAATCCCTATACATGAAATCTGTATGTCCCGGTGAAATATTATGCACCCACACTCTGTCTTTCTCTCTAAACAAACGTTCCTCTCACAGGTACAAACTCGGGTTGTCAGTTGTAGGTGACTAGATATCACCGCCATTTTCCTTGATGTACGATGACATTTTGTATTTAAGATGTTTCATGTTATTTTGTGTATCTTAAATGTAGCATAATTAGCTATCATATCTAATACTTTACTAAAGTGCTTCTATATTGGTCAGATATAACAAGTGCAGTATCAATATGTTAATACAAAAACCTTGAAAATTAAAAAAAAAGACATATTTCTTGTGTCAATCAATGTGGACCATGTTTAACTCACTATATCTAAAATAATCAAAATACTATTTCATCATTATTATCGTTTTATACAAAAAAAAAAACAAAATAAAAAACAGGTGTACAAACTTTACTTTACTTTCTAAGGTAAAATGTACTGCAATATTTTCAATTGTTTTCGAATAATTTTATTGATAGGAACGGTTGTGAGTCATCTTTTATTGAAAAAAGGACATTCACGATGTAGAACGGTGTAACTAGAACTCCCGCTCCAGACTAACATAGTTAGAAATGTACTGAATTACAAGATTCATTTAGAATATTCTTACATAAATTTTAGTAAAATTCCAGCCGTACCTATCACGAAAAGAATGCATGTGAAAAGTAAAGATATGTAAGAGCAAATGTGTGCCAGAAAGTAAGTCATTCCTACACTCAGAGTCTGTTTCATGGCTATAATAAAGACTTAGCGTCTTACTTGCATTCATGAAGTCCTTGTATATCTCATCAGTTGAACAGTTACTGTACCTCAATACGCAAAAAAAAAAAATAATGTCTTGTCTTTAATAGTTACTTTATGGTGCTATTGATTCTATTATTTTAAACTTTTGTACTTTTTCGATGCCTTGAGACCTTTTAAAAATAAATATTAATATTTTTCATAAAAAATTCTTGAAACTTTTTTTCAAACACTACCACTAGAGGACCAACAATCAGTCTCAATTTAGCAATGTTAATCTGTAAACAAAATATATTTAATCAACGTATGTTATTTCTACGTTTGCATATTCTTCGGAAACAGCCGCTTAAATATACATAAAAATATGGCGATGTGGTATGATTGCCAATGAGACAACTATTATCCAGAGATCAAACAAGTGGAGTTAAGCAACTATAGGTCACCCTACAGCCTTTCCTGATGAGAAAAAAACCCATACCGTATAGTCGGCTTTAAAAGGCCTCGACATGAAAAATGTGAAACAATTCAAACGAGAAAACTGACGGCCTAAGTTACTACAAAACAATTTACGAAAAACAAATATAACAGACTTGAACCAACGACAACCACTGAACTACAAGCACAATATGATTGGAAAAAAGGAAAACTAGATCCTAATATAATACTATCATATTATGGACAGGATCAGAGCCTAACACATCATGTGTCTTACATAACTATAACAATAATTTCATAATAATTAAATATTATTTTATATATTTTGTATCCACCTGGATCTTATTTCTAAACACTTAATTATATAATTGCCTAGGCACATGAGAGTTGGTAAATGCTCATTTGTGAACAGCCATATATATTGTCTTCTGTGTGCCGTTGAGACAACTGTTATCCATATAAAAATAAGAAGATATGGTATATGTCAATTCTGAATAATCTTTTATTGAAAAAGTAGGTATTTATAATGTAGAATGGTACAACAAAAAACGTTAATCCAGGCTTTTTGTTTTGAGAGATGTTTTATATATACATGAATTGAGTTACAAGAATCGTTTAAAACTTTTAGAATAAAATTACATTATTATTACGGAGTTAGCAGTTGTGCGATTTTAAGTTGTGAACGACACCAACTATGGAGTTACCATTATATTCTATCTAAAAAACACTACATAAGTTTATATACATGTATGATACAAAAAAAAAAATCAAAACCAATCATCCAATGTATACCTGATGGCACTTATATCCACTGTGCATCACTTGATAATTTTGATAACTGGTGTAAAAAGCCAAAAAAAAAGCAACAACAAAATAAAAATAAAAAACCTCAATTAAAAAATTAAATAAATTAACTAGCAAATAATAAAACATACGATATATTCCATACAGATACAAAACTACAATATTCGTTTAAATCAAAACCGATCCATATAGTTAATTTTATTCATGCATCAGAAGTAGGAATAGAACGTCCAATGGTTGTTCTTGATTTATTTTCTGCATTGTTTGAGTCTTGGTATTTTGCTTTTGAGTTTCAATTTTATTTCAGCCTTTCATACTCGATTTCAAAGGGCCTTTTAAGCCCTATGCACGTGCTGTTTCGCGCTCACCGCGAAAGAGAATGAAGCGAGCATCAGTTCCTTGTTTAGCTTTGCATATGTTTGATTGGTTTAGTCACTTTAGTGTATAGCTGTCTCTATCGTCATCATTAGTTAACATTTTCTACTTAAAGGGCGAATGATATTTGAGTTTAAAACTACTAGAGATTGTTTAAGTCTTCCGTCATGCACTAATCAAGACTTTGTGCAACTCCAACAAAAATAGACCGACACCATTTTTTTTTCTCTATACAGAAATTCTTGGAATGTATATATCAAAAATATCTTACCTACATTTGAATTAAAGGGATTGATTAGATAAGGTTATCATCAAAGCAATAATAAACACTTTACAATAAAGATAATCAAATGTAAATCATGTACAAGCCATCTGACAAATTACAGTGCATGTTTTTTGGCTTCTGTTGTCATTACGTAAGATGTGAAAAGACACAGACTATACAATTAATAGCAGACATGCGTATTTGTGAACTAGTTTACATAATACAAACTTCCGTACCTGTTGAGCCAAAATTCTCTTTGGTCTCTTCAAACTTCTTATCTGTCGAATTTAATAGTTGCAGGAACTGTATGAAATCAATTTTGCTGCCTGTAGCAACTATCCACCAAACAACAAATTACAGAATAATAAATATATACACTTCAGTAGTTCATATTACGGCCTTCAACAATGGCCACCAGTGGTCTCGTGCTTGTCCCAAGTGTGGAAGGTCGTTAGTTAGATCTCCGGCAGGTCTTACCAAAGACTTGAAAATTGGCAGTAGCTACTTCTTCGCTAAGCACGCAGCATTTAGGGTCAAGAGCAAAGACTAGGTCGACCCGGAGTAAGAATAAAGTGTCCGGCTAAAGTGACATATCTTCCTGCAGACTGTTACCTTGTCAACTCAGCATGTTGGTCTAGTACAGAAAAGGGCTCATATTTATATTACATAAATAGATTCTCGTCCTGGATATGCATTTTTAACTTCCCACTGGACGTTAAAATAACCATTCACCATTCATCATCAGCAATGGACCATTAAACTGCGTTGTAAGAAAGTTCAACAGATTAAAAAAGAAATAAAATTGAGAATGGAAATGGGGAATGTGTCAAAGAGACAATAACCCGACCATAAAGCAGACAACAGCCGAAGGCCACCAATGGGTCTTCAATGCAGCGAGTAACTCCCGCACCCGGAGGCGTCCTTCAGCTGGCCCCTAAACAAATATGTATACTAGTTCAGTGATAATGGACGTCATACTAAACTCCAAATTTTGTTTGGTGCAAGATTGTGTCATTCTGAATTATATATGACGTGACTATATGAAATGGACTGTCTAATACATTCACCGATATTAGAGTGTAGGACAGTGTATATTTTCATATCAACAACTTAAGTACTTTGAGTTTGATTTCAGAACCTTCGATCAGTGTAAAATCAGATTTTGGGTATACGTCAATACCATAAGACATGCAAACATTTAGAACGCAACAGTCTTCGACAGATTTGTTTAATACGATAGTCTAGTATTTAGTGTTGTGTTGTTTGTGTTTGTATTCCCTATTTTTAGCCAATTTATACCTTACCCGAGAAGTTGATTATTTTTTTTTGATAACCAATGTGTGGTTCTCTTGATGTTATCAAACCATTGGTCAAAATTCAATTATGAAGTTTCTGAAATCGCTATTGTTACGTCCCGAAAAAAAAGACCACCATGCAAAATCTCTTTATTTTTATACGTAGGACGTCACATTTACACTTGCACAATTTTTGTTGTTGCGCCTGATTATTAAAAAGGTAATAAAAAGTCTGTCTACATATCTAAAAATCATTAGAAAAACAGATTCTACCACTGCATGTGATCCGATAATTCTCTCGAGGCAGTAATTTTTTCAAATTTAAAACGCGAGGCTTTCCGAGTTTAAAACCGTTATTATAGAGTTAAGTGCTTCTGTTTTTCTGTACGGATTTTTATTGAATCTAATTTGTTTAGCTCGTGCAAGTCCGCTCATCGAGGTCAAACAGGGAAAGGTTTAGACCTGAAGAAAAAATCTAGTTTAACCAAACCGCATGTTCGTGTGCCTGTCCAAGATCAGAAACCACGTGAATTATTGTCTTTTGTCGAAATATCTTATTTTTAGGTCTTTTTCAAAATAAAATGATGATGGCAGGTCTTGAAAGTCTTTGTTTAATGCACTTTGAGTTTTTTTTCTATTTGGTCGATTATGAAATAAAAATGTAAAAGCACCCATATTTTGTTGGATAAAAAATAAGACGTGGTATGATTGCCAATGAGACAACTCTCCAACAGAAACCAAATGATGTAGAAAGCTGTATGTTCACCTCTATGTGTCTTTTAATTATTTGTATTGTTAGATTGCTGATTCATTGATGTATACACCCTCATTCCCTTTGGTTAGTGTATAGCTAATCTTTCCTAGCTCTTGAGACAGCAATTGTAATACAGTCATTGTTTTGACACACTGTACACCAAAGTCATCTTAAATCAAATGAACGAATAAGCTTTCTAACAAACAGAATTTACAACAGACGTGGGAATATGATATCGGAAAATATTAATCTAAATTGGGAAATTATGTACCAAACATTTCGTAAATTGTCCATACAGCCGTTATAAAAAATCTTACACATGGGCATCTTATAAAACGTCTAGATATTAGTCAACGATTTTTCTTACGAGGGCGCTGGATCGTTATGTATATGTATATATAACAGTGTAAAGCCAACCTTGTAGTGTACATAGGGTATATATGTTACATGTTATATATTCTCTTTTCATTAAGCCATAACTGCACCTGTTTGCCACAATAATGAATTGTGATTTATTGCAATCTCATAAAGTTCACCACTATTGCATGAAGGAGAAGTACTGTCCTTTAGATCTAATCAAAAACATTTCGAAGTCTACAACAAGACTTGCTAAATTCTCAATCATAAAGTTGATATGGTGTAAAACGTATTATTATGGATAAGTTCACTCTTTATTTCATATTGGCAGACATTCACTCTTCATTTCATATTGGCAGACATGCAATTTTCATTTCATATTAGCAGACATTCACTCTTCATTTCATATTGGCAGACATTCACTATGCATTTCATATTGGCAGACATTCACTCTTCATTTCATATTTTTTTTAACCAAGGTAAATCGAAAATTGATACATTATTTACACGTTAATAACTCTTACATACATCTTCACATGGGAAAAAATACGTTAGTACTCTTTCGAAAATTTTCGCACATTTCCGATATTTAAAGTGATAGTTTTATGACTATTAGTGCAATTATCCATCTTTAATTTTTATTTAAGACCATTACAACCAGAAATACACATTAAATACAACAAACACGTCATATTTTAATTGATTTGTTTGGTATATTTCCTGGTTATGTATGTAATTAAGAACCCCAATGGTTGACTGGAGTTTACAAATATGGTCACACATGGACCTTGCCAATCCCGCAGTAAAATCCATGCAAAAGAAGAACGTCCGTTTGAATGCAGGATGTACAAATACTGAGCAGCCAAATCCGATCGGAATTTAGGACGTTAAAACGAAGCCTAGTGTCGGGAGAGTGTCATGCTT